CGGGGGTGGTGGGGCCAGCCATGGGGAGGCTGGAAGAGTGGGCGGGGCTCAGAGGGCTAGTGGCAGAGTCCCCATGTAGCACGGGGCAGTGGGGGGCTTTGGAGACCACCCCCTGCCTGACAGCAGCTGGTGACTAGGAGCTTTTTTTAAAGAGCCAGGAGCTGGGGCCGGGCAGGGCAGCCATGGGACGGTCTGGGAGAGCAGACGGGGGTCGGGGGGGTACTGAGGGAGGCTGAGGGAGCAGGCAGGGGATGGGGCCTGGCAGGGGTCCGCTCCATCCCTCCTCAAGCCCCCACTCCCCCACCCCCTACTTATCAGGATGGAGTCCTGGTTTAGTTCCCTGCAGCAGCGAGCCCAGGCTGTCCGAATCTTTGAAGCTCTCTGAATCTTGTCCAAATCAATTCAGAGAGCTTCGAATCAATTCGGATCTTTTCATTGGTCTCCTGATTCGATTCAGATTTGGAGATTTGGCCACCAAATAGGGCCGAATCTCCTCTGAAGCAAATCAGCACCTGAAGCTTCACACAGCCCTAATCCAAATATGTATCTTCCTTTAAATTTTTTTTTTTATTATTCACACTTCCTTAAGCATCATCAATTAGGTCAACATGTTTCTCAAGGGTTTCCTTATTGTCCTGACTACCCTCTGCTGGTAACCACTTCAGACAAAATAAAATATCTGAAATAAACATTGCTGATCCCTGCTATAAATACTTTTGGCCAGTGCCAAAAACACCCCAACCCTAACCCATGCCTTGACTTGGTATGCCAGGGACAGACCACAGGGGCCTGATCCTTACTGCTGGTGGTAGCTGCACGCACGCATACTTCCAGGTGAATGGCGGGTGATGGGCCGGCCTAGAGGCACATGTGCAGCTGCTGCCACCATGGAATCCAGCCAAATGCTCTGGAGCTCAGTGCAGGTGTTTGCAGCCTCCCGACTACCTGCCACAGCCAGCCTGGGTACTGGGCAGTCTTAGTAGGTGGCCGGCAGGCTGCAAACAGCTGCAGTGGGCTCTAGAGCACTGGCACCAGCTCCGTGGTGGTGGTGGCTGCATGCATATCTTTGGGTAGATGGTGGGGGAGGGGCCGGGGTTGCACTGCCCCAGAACCCTCTCCCACTGTCTGCCTGGAGGTGTGTGTGCAGCCACTGCTGCCAGTGCCACTGCCCAGCCAGTGCTGGGGCTCCAGAGCCCACTGCAGCTGTTTGCAGCCTCCTGGCTGCTGCTGGCCCAGGTGCTGGGCAGCTGTTGCCAGCTGTGGAGCCCGGGTTGGTTGCAACAGGGCTTGCAGCCTCCTAACCACCTACTGCAAGCAGTCCCAGACTCAGTGGCTGGCAGCAGCTGTTCACAGCCCAGGCTGGCTGTGGTATGCTGAGCAAAATGACCTTGCATGCCTTGCTCTGGCATGTGTGCTGGGGGGTTGCTTATCCCTGATTTATAGTATATATTTTGCAGTATCTGAATGATTGATTGGGAGATTTAAAAAATGATATACAGAGTATGGAGGATTCTTTTTATCAGATTACAAAGATTGCAAGGCAAATAAAAAATGAGATCTTATCTTAGATGACAGTGCCCTCTTTAAAGAGTGGCCTGGAAAGAAAATAATTCAGTCAACGCTATTTATTTTTTCCATAGGTCTGAAATGATTAATTTTTTTAAAGGGAATTTTTGTGATTTCTTTTTCAGATTAATTATGATGTTGTCTATCTTGTTTTCATGGAAGATTATTGAAGACTGAGGAACATGTAGGTTTATAACTTCATGGATATTATGGAGAGAAATCGGACTCCATTTCTGATCTTGCAAATAATGTGCTTATCTTTAAACATATGAACATGTTTAAATGTTTGCAGGATCGATACCTGAGAGGAGAAGTAATTTTTTAAAGACTGCGTACAACTCTGTTTTGTTAAAACTGATTTAATCCAGTGCTTGTACAACGTAAAAGAAAATCTATTTCAGTTTTCGTGACCCAGTAAGAACTCTCATTTATGTATCAATGCTACTCAAGAAAGATCTCCAGCAATGCAGATTAGGTCAGATCTGATATCACTCATTAATAAAACCAGGTTCAGAATAAAACAGGGCTCAGAGTAAATATTTGGGACTAGATCCTCTATTGACATAATTCCACCGACTTCAATGAAATTACACCAGCAAAACATTTGATGCTTAATATAGATTAAAGTTTGTATCTTCACCAGCATGATAAAGGAAAAGGAAATGAAACATAAGAAAATGGTATTAAAAGGATATGTAAAGAGCTGTTCTCCTATCAATTTGAAGTAAACATTGTAATATGTTTTTGTTTCTCCATGATCCTCTGGAAGACTATACCCATACTAAAAAGAAAATGCATATAAAATGGAATATTGTATAAAAAATTTGGCAAATATAAAAACATGTCTCAAAAGTGAAACAAGATTAAGAAAATCCCTTGTGTTTTTTCTTACCAGACTCTTCCAGTGCATCTGGAAGTCTTTATATGAACGAAAAGGAGACTCTGGTGGACTTATGTGGCTGATACTAATGATCTGACCCATTTTCAAGCTGTATGCATGAGGATAAAAAAACGTGCCATATATCACTAATATGACTTACAACATATTTAATAACACTTAGAATGTTTTAAAAGCAAAGTGCAGAAATGTCACTTGGTTTGGTATGGAAACTATATAGTGGGTGAGTCTACACAAGGCGCTTACTGCGTATTATCCTAATAACACTGCATAGTAGTGTGGCAGTTAAAACAGTGTTCATAGCCTACTGTGCAGTGTTAGACTAATATACAGTAAGCATCACAAAATAACTGTGCACGGGCATTACTGTGCAGAAACTCCAGTTATTGCGCATTATATCTAGTTATAACTCTAGTTATTGCGCATTTACTTAGTACTTTATTAAGTGAATACTAAACTACATGCATAGTATCTAAGGTACATTAATGAATGTAGAGATGCACTCACTGATTTTATTTATAACTTAATGGGAATTATAGAAATCAAATCAACCTGACACTAGTTCTGATCCTGCAAAGACCTATGAACATGCTTGTTTGCAGGATTGGAGTCTGATAGGGGAAGCAATTTTATTCAGCTCGTATACAACTTTTTTTTTGGTTAGAACCTGTTTAATCCACTGCCTGTACAAACTATGGAACTACGACATTTGTGCTCAGAATGTCATGATGACAGAAGTTCACTTGTGAAACAACAATATCAGTTTTAATATAGACCATTTTTTTTCTTAGAATATAAAACAAAAGCTTGGTAAAAGTGTGACCTACAATTTTGTATTATTATTTGCAGCACAATTACGGTGTGTGCAGAATAAATAAAACAAAAAATTAAATTGCACCCCTCCCTCCCTTTTTTTACAGTGATATAATGAAAGGGACATGTGAAAACAGGAACGGCTTGAAAAAAGAAGTGGAAATATTTTTCTTTTAAGTAGTACATTCTGGTAAAACAAAGGAGAAAACATTTTTTCTACATCATAACCATGCATTACTAAAGTTAAAAGGCTAAAAAAATCCAATTTACCATTCACTTTCTATATATTGAATACATACATACATACATACAATATTACTTTTAGAACTGACTGAATCATTGTTTATATACTTCATTTATATTCTGTATTTTTAAAAATCTAAGTAAGGGAAATAGATTGGTCAGTTTCACTTTTGTTTAAAGCCATTTCCCAGGTTCTAGTCACTAATCCTAACTTCACAGTTTTTGTTGCAAACAATGCAGGTGGCTGTTTGATTCTGTTAAAATTTAAATAAAATCTTACCTTGGTAAGACATAGCACCAATTACTTAAAATGGAATGTCTCTGAATGACTGAATTTTCATTATTGTCGAATATCTTTATGACATGTGTTGAAATATCAAAGTCTTCCAGCTTTAAAAAGAAAATATTAATTATTTTTAAAAATCCTGCTAAATTTATGCAAAGGGAAAACTTAAATGCGTACAAATATGAATATATTGTTATTCATTTACTGCTCACTTAATACTTACACTTTCAGGAATTCTAAATGTTAAAAGTTGAGGGGCAAGTCTTATGGAAATTAATATGTAAAGATATGGGACTCTGTATAAAGTTCCCCAGATAAAGAGCAATCCCACATTATCTCATCAGTTCTTTTAAATGCAACTCAGATAATAACATGTTCTAGCCTTAGGCTACCTGGAGACTGAAACAGATAAGCATAAAAGCCAAGCAAAAGTACCCAGCAACTATGTGGCTTTGCTCCTCAGGAAAATCAACACCCAAAAGTCTTGCTAAAGGTCAAGGTAAAGTTAAACACTTTTTTAAATAAGGAGAGTCATTGAGAGTCACTGCACTGCCTGTCATGGCTTGCAGCCATCCAGGAACAAGGAAGCCCTTGCTATGAGCATGGTATCTTCAGTCTGTAAGGAAAAAAAATGTCCCATGCTAGGATTGTACTGAGCTAGTAGTGTAAGTAGGGTGGGATAAGCAGTACACTAGCCCTGGGCAGTGACTTGGAGGGGGCACCAAGACTCCTCAGGTATCTTTTCCACGGCAGGGGCAGCACAGCCATAGGAGCCAGGCAGGCACATTCCCATGCTTTGTAGTGTATCTATGGGATAGGGGAGAGAACAAGATGAGTGGAATGCAACCTCCCTCTCCCCCAAGTAAGACTTTGCCGTGAGAGGCAGCCCTGCACCAGAAGTATATCCAGGCAGAGAGGGGCAACAAATGGGGTACCAGGAGTGGTCCCATGAAGTCTGTGCTAGCCAGGATGCTACACCAGCATGCTGTGAGCCCATTTCTCAGCTGCAACAGTCTAAGCTCACTGCCTGGGCTCCCCAGTGGTCAGCATAATTCCCTGCCTCCCTAACTCTGTCCCAAGCACTGAAATATTTTCCCACACTTCTGTACTGCATCCATAGTTAATGATGAAACCATACCCAGACAATTTCCATCATTATTGCTTCTGTCATTTTCAAGGTCAAATTGTATGTTGCTCAACAAGAGAAAAGAACCCCTTTCTTCTGAGAACCAAGACTATTTGAGAAGACAGAAGTTTTAACTGCAGTCTACTAATCAGTGCACCAGATGATTAAGTATGCCAAGATGCATTCAGCAAAGGTGATATCTTTGTCAGAACCAATACTATTTTTTTTATTCTGAAGCAAGATTGTTGTTAACCATATTCAGAGCACAGCCCACACTGCTCCCATTTGGGGGGAAAACAGGACCTCTTTGGTTGTTCTTAATAAATAACTGAGGATAAGATGTTACTTCATGCTGTTAATGGATGAAAGTAAAGGAGAGATTATCTCCTGGGAAATACAGTCGTGTAAAAATACCTGTGCCTGATAATCATGGTCAGACTATTTTTTTCTGAAGGCTTCTTTAAACAATAGCTCGAAGGGAATCTTCCTCCCAGAAAGATCTGATTGGCATGACTGTGGCACTTCCATCATACTAATACATGGTATATTTATTTAGTAGAAGATGAGAATAACGTGACCATTTGGGACAAGACTAGGAGCAACAGCCTCAAGCTTCAGCATGGGAAATTTAGGTTGGAGATTAGGAGGAACTTTCTGACTATGAGGATGGTCAGGCATTGGAACAGACTACCTAGAAGTTGTGGAATCTCTATCCTTGGAAACTTTGAACAGCATGTTAGACAGACACTTTGCTGGGATGGTCTAGTCAGGGGTGCTCCTAACTTAAGCAGGGAGCCCTAGAAGACTAAATGACCTCCTGAGGTCCCTTCCAGCCCTACTTTCCTATGATCCTATGATAAGAAACTAGTTTGAATAATGTCCAAAAGCAACAGGGAATAAACACATTTTCCCTGTTGGTTATTCTTAAATAAAGCATTGTAAATAAAATAAGACCATAAAGAAGCTTGCAGGATGAATGAAATGATTGATAAAAGTTCTGTACCTCAGGTGGTGGTAGTCGAATTGTGAAAGCCTCCAAACTGATGCAAACTTGGTTTTCTGTTACACTGAGGTCCATAACTGTATTAAAAGTAAAGTAAACTGTATAAAAAGTAATTTTCTCAAATGCAAAGCCAATGTGCTTATACTAAAGGAACCGCTTATGATTCTGCTCATTGTAGTGGTTTGAAAATCTACAAGGTAAGAATTCCTTAACACTGAAAAAACAACTAATTGCATTTCAATTCTTAAAAATTAAAACAAACTTTGGTCTCTATTTTCTAATATCAATGACTAAACTGCATCCATAAAATTATGTACACACACATAACTACCGTCAGTAACTTGGTTTTGTGTACATGTTGGTGCTTGGATACAAAGTCTACTTGTACAAGCAACTCCCACTTCTGAACATAATTCCCACTTGCAAATTTAGGTGGCAGCATTTGCAAATGTAGTCTTTAGTGAGGTTTTGAAATATATGGGAGGTTTTGCTATAAAATATTTTATTCCTATATATATCTTCATAACAAGTTAATTAAGAGCCCCATATGGCCTGATGTTTTGAGTACTGTAAATTTAAATGAATGGGTTCCAAAGTAGGGATATAGGTAAAGGTGAACAGTAAAAAGGCTCCCCTCTGTTTCCCTCTTGATATGAAAACTCCCCCACTACATGTGCAGGTAAAGGCACAATGGTATCTAATACACGATCCACCCAATTGCACTTTCTGCCCCGCCACATATGCATGGCAGGAGGCTTGATTGTGGGATCACACATTAGATCCCGTCATTCCTTACTGCCAGTGCAGAGGGAGCCTGATCATGGGCTCACCCTGCACTGGCAGGAAGCAAGCTGGGCAAGTTGAGGGGGCTCCCAGCTGTGGTAGCCATGGTGCTCGGGGGTGCATGAAACCCCCACACCCTGGGGATTGTGGCTGCCTCAGGGCCCAGGGGTTTCACACACTCCTGAACTCTAGGGATTGTAGCTGTCTCAGGGCCCAGGGGTTTCATGCTGGACATGGTGCACCCCTGAGGTTGGGATTCTCAGCCCAGAGGAGACCCTACTACACGTGCAAATGAAAGCTCAATAGCAACCGGTTATAGAGTTAGTACATGTTTTTGAGATCTGACTTTACAGCTGGTTGGAGCTTTCTATTGTGTGATAAGTACTTTGCATGTGTAGCTGGTCTTAAGGTAATTAGTCAATCAGTTAATTAACTGGTTATGTCCCAGTTAATCAGTTAATTGCACTATAGCTATAATGAGTAGAGGGGGCCATAGTGACATACAACATAGGGATTATGTGATTGAAGCTAGTTTCATATTTCAAAATAAAATCATAGCAGCTCTAGAAATAATGTATTTTTGCTTAAATGCAAGCATACTTTATATTTTAACAAAATATTGTACTTACCAACAGCATTTTGTTTTCCCTTATGAGACAGGAAATCTCTCCCTTCATAAATAAAAGAAATGTACATTATTTTTATAAAATATATGTCCAAAGCCTTTATTTAAAAATGTCTTTATGTAGTAGGGAAGGAGAAAGTGCATAGTTTATTTTGCGTGTCAGATTTGTTATTCTTTATATAAAAAGAAAAATGCATATCAATTAATTTTTCATTGAACTACAAATAAAATAGCATATAAACAAACACTGAAATATGTATGAGAACATATTATGGACTACTATTTACATGAGTGGTTTTTGCAATGAGAAATTTGTATATGGAATTATTTTTATTGGATAACCCTTAACAAATTCCTCAAGCCCAAAAGAGGAGTTGGAATGAAATATTACTCTAGATTCAATCATCCATATAAACCTACTGGTAGAAACAAAATTTTAAGAATAAATTTGATTTTAGATGATACTATGAGAATTAAGAACAAATTTGTTACTTTATTTGCATAAGGGAGCACAAAGCAGAAACATGCAGAATACATAAGAAAACACTGTGTCTTTGGGGCAAAATGCTCCACAGTGGGCACATCTACTTGTGAAATGAATGCAACACAATAAACTCCAGTACATATCTCGCTGGAGTTTATTGCTCCTGGACACTGTGTTTACACGTGTGCTTGGACTGAAGCATGTTGAGCTGGGTTGGAGGAGCCCTGGCTGGCAGGAGGCCTGGTGGGGGTCAGCCTGCCAGCCTGGGGCTGCTTCAACCCAGTTCAACGGGTTGCAGAGGGGCTGGCTGGGGCACAAGGGTGCTCCATTGCGGGGCTAGCTGGCAGGCAGCCCCTCACTGAAGCACCCTTGTGCCCCAGCCAGCCCTGTCAGAGTCTCCACATGTGTTGCAGAGCATGAAAGAACGCTGCTGTAGGACTGTACTTGTGTTCACAAGTACTAACCTATGGCAAAGTTAATTAGTTTCCTGTGGTCTAATACAGCCACATGTGTAGACACTGAGACTTTACTGCAGAGCTAATTAGGCTAGTGTGTAATATTTCTCTTCTCTCTTTGGGGCCACAAGATTTTTTGCTAATACCGTGTGTGGGGCATGTGCAGTGCAGTTAGTGGAAGGACAGAACAAGCTACAATTTAGCTCTTAAATTGTAAAAGACCTTCTGTAGATGTATATCTATAGCCCTTTGTTAGTGTTAAATGTTTGCTTAAATGAAACTAGTTCTCTCTTTTACAGTTTTTCTTGTTGGGTTTTAAATCTGGAACTAAAAAAATAAAAATAAAGAAAAAGTGATTCATATTAAAGATTCTGATAATATTGTACCTTAAAATATAAAACACCAGCTTTATCTCAGTTTAAACGGTATAATATTCTATACATTTCTTCAGTGAGAATGTGAACAGTGTGCAGCTGTGTTAGAAACATTAACCAACTGAATCTGACTATACTTTGCTACTATGGTAGATGACTAGAATACTACCAATTAGCTTGATGAAACTTAGTGGAATTAGATTGTTTTAAAGCATGTCCCTTTCAGTTTGGATAAGAGAAACGTGTTCTTAGTGGAAATAAGTTTAACCAGGCCTCTTACTTGACTAAGAGGCGAGACAAAGAGAGAGAAAGAGAAGAGAAAAAATGCTGATGCTGATGCTATGTGTTTCAAAATGTTCTAAGATAAGAAAAAACCTTCATGCCTTGTTTTGTCTTGATATATTAAGCTGTGTGCGCAGATGTTAACCTCTTCCTTTCCCCCGAACCAGAAGCTGATAACTGTTCCCAAAACACAGTTTTTTTTTTCCTGAATAAGTAAACTGCTTACATATGACAAACGAATGACCAACAACTTTCTGTTTCTCTCAAGGTTGCTTTGTCTGAACCCTGCATCTTTTCTCGCTGTCTAAAGTATAAATACGCTTGTAAACTTGTAGAGGTCAGAGTTCCTTTGAGAACCCTCCTTGTGATCACTTGTATAGCTTTAAATAAACTAAGATGGCTCTGCCAATTCTGATACAACCACAACGCGAAGTTTGATTTCTTCCACAATTTGGTGCCATGACTCAGATAGAGACGCCCAGAGTGATCGGTTGAGATACAAACCGTCTCCTCACTGACACCCCAGCGCCAAACTAAGGTAAGAGACCTTTTGAAATCTCTATTGGGGCTTTTCGGTGAGAGACTGCCTGTGTGTCTTCCTGTTTGCTGCTTGAGGCTTACCCTATCCAACCCTTTTGCTGCCAGAATTGTCAGACCCACTATGTAAGTAGGAATTGTGAGTAGAAAAGAGTTTGACACTGTGTTGCTGTTGTCAGTGAATGTGTTTCCCCGTGTGAATTGAGTTAAGTTCTGTAAAGAACTATGAGGTCTTTCTGAAGCTAGGAGTGGAAATCTTGTGCAGCCGCCTCGAGGACACCAGACTTGTTCTGCGTGCTCTTCGAAAGCAAGGGTGCAAGGTGGAAACTCTTAGACTGAAGGAGATCAGGGTTGTGTGATGAATTTTCCCTACCCCCACTCTCATGAATGAGCCGTGTCTAACAGTGAGTAACTGCATTGTGTGCCGGTGCTACGGAATCTTGTCTTTGGACATTAGCCACAACATTCCTGTGCCACTAGCAAATCTCACGACCTGACTGGACACTCTCAATAAGCCTCTCCTGTGTGAAAGACCTGTGTGAATTGAGCTTAAAGACATGGGGAGCGAAGGGTCTAAAGACGTACTAGCACCACCAAAAGGGACTCCAGCATTGTACATGTACACACACTATGGCCATAAAAGTTGTAAGTTTCTAGACAAATGGAATTGGTATACCAGAGATGATTCTAGCTTGCAGTTTCCCCTGGAGGGAACATTTGATTTAAGTAAAATCCTTCATCTCCGCGGAGCCCTTGAGTCAAGAGGCAGTAAAACACCACAGACTCAGTAGAACACATTTTTTGATTGGCATGCAGAAGCTTCCAAAAGATGTCAAGAATCTCAAGTTCGGAGCCGTAAGGACTCCCAAGAAAAACTAAAATCTCAGATAAAGGAATTAAAACAGAAAAATGCACCAATAGGGGATCCCCCATCAACAGCATTATCAGCACCAACACAACTTTATCCACAATTGACTGAGAATGAATCTGTAGAAGACATAATTAATTTTTTCAGTGTGCCACTCCAGGCACAATCTGAACCCGAGGAAGTTCAAAGTAACCAAATAGATTCTTCCTGTGGAAGCAGCCCACCCCATCAGAAAACCATCACCTGCCCCTGGGGCATGCCCGCAGCCACCGGAGACATGGCATCTGTCTCCTGAAGCCTCAACCTCCTCTTATTTAAGGTCCGACCCCCAATATGGTCCAGTCCCACCTTTAAAAATGAAAAAGACTTGTCTTATGCCTTTACACCAACTCCCAGGGCAGGGTCCAAATGGGGAAACTACAGTCACAGTCCATGCCCCCTGGACCCCAGGAGATCTCCTAAACCTTGTTAAGCAATTCCCCAATATCAGG